ATAAATAACAAGTTACTCACTAACCCCCGGTTCAGTACAGTTACCCCCATTGTATATAACATAGCTGCACTAAACCCCCAGTGTTGATATAATACAAGTACAGCTGCACTAAACCCCCCCAGTGTTTAGTACAGTGCACTAACCCCAGGTGATATAAAACAAGTACAGCTGCCACTAAACCCCCAGTGTTGATATAATATAACAGTACAGCTGCACTAAACCCCCAGAGTTGATATAATATAACAAGTACAGCTGCACTAAACCCCCAGTGTTGATATAATATAACAAGTACAGCTGCACTAAACCCCCAGTGTTGATATAATATAACAAGTACAGCTGCACTAAACCCCCAGTGTTGATATAATACAACAAAAACCCAGTTTTATCGTTCGGAACCAATAAAACGAGCACCTTCCCTCTGAAGAGAAATGGTTGCTACCTGGAGCAAAACAATACATCAACCTTGCGTTTTCATTTGAGCTGGTAAGCAAAAAGCTAACTAAGGTAACTAGCTTGTTGGTGGACTGTAGAAGACTAGTTTGCGTGGTCAGCGTGGTGACGTGAAGATATTGTGACTAATGTGGTAGTTCCATTTCTCTGAAAGTTAGCGATTCGTTAGCAACAGACTTATTTTGAGCACATTGTCACGAATTCAGCCGAGGCTGCCCCTCCTCCTTGCTCGGGCAGGTTTCGGCGTTAGTCATCACCGGCTTACTGGCCACTACCGCTCCATTTATCATCACTCCATTTGTCTTGTCTTGTCGTGTCTTGTCAATCACACACACCTGGTACTCATTCCCTCATTAGTCTAGTGTTGTCTTTGTCCTTTGAGAGTGATTGTTCATTGTGAGAGTGGGTAGCTCGGTTGAGCTACTCTTTCCTTGTATGTAGCCAAGGTGGATTTTTCCCTTGTGCTAGTTTCGTTTTGTCGCTTGCTGCGCTTTATTCGTGTACACTGAATAAACTCTGGATTTCGGTGTTTTACCTCCTGCGCCATTCAAACCTCATCACACACATAAAGGCTTCTGTGAGAGATTTATTATTTTTATAATTGATGGGATGACTAACTTAGAAAGAATGCATTCTTGACTGGGCTAATGTAGGTTGTGTCACCTGGCAAGCTGTGATTGATGTGAAGAGCTGTTTTAGGGGGTAAAATGAGATAAGGATTTGTGTCTCCAAATACTAGACAATACTGGTTCTTTGTGATCTGTGAACCATCCTTGGACGTAGGAATGGTGTCTAGGGGAGCTGGCTCTTCTCACCAAGACAGGTTGTTATGATAAGAACGTATGCCTGGAAACAGGGATGCGCTAAGAGGCGGGGAACAGCCAGTGCGTCAACGGATAGGCTGAGTAAGTCTAAACCACGCTCAAGTCTCTACTCTGATTGGCCAGCAGAGAGGAGGGAAACTCTCTCTGTCAGAGTATTTGAGGAAGAACATGTAAACAATGGATTTAGTTCTCTGTCTGCCCTGCAAGGTTTTTCAGTGAGCCCGTATACGAACCAACATACTTATCATACATACATTTTGCATATAATAAATTTAGTTTGGATTGAAGATCTCTTGATTCTTATTTCAATACCAGATTTGAATTATGCAATTTCTAACAATTGGTGACCCCGACGTGATCTGATAGTAGAACTTCGCTGGAATTCATCCAGCCAATTGGACAATCGCTGTCTTCGAACCGTGTGTTTCACAAAGTGCCCGGGCTTCTAAAAAGGTAAGCAAACACCTATTGTAATATAACTAAAGTTTTGCACATTGGCTTTATCCAAATTAATTTTGTGAAGCACCTGTTTGATGTAAGTGAACTCTATTACTCTATAAATAACGATTATAGATTGCTAATTCGATTTGATAAAATACCATGCAAATGTTTGATAATTGTGATGGTTAAAACCCATGGGAGGTGCGAGCTATGGTTAGACAACCATAGGAGGTACCTTTAAAAAACGGTGCGAGCTATGGTTAGAAAATCCATAGGAGGTACCTTTAAAAAACGGTGCGAGCTATGGTTAGAAAATCCATAGGAGGTACCTTTAAAAAACGGTGCGAGCTATGGTTAGAAAATCCATAGGAGGTACCTTTAAAAAACGGTGCGAGCTATGGTTAGAGATCCATAGGAGGTACTTTAAATTAGAGTGTTACTGTATGCATGAGGGTGTGAATTATAATGTACCTTGATGAAAAACCAATTAGGGATAAAAAAAATAAAAAAACGTATGTGAACTATTCAAACTGTATAATTTGGGGATAACTGTTGGGTTTGTGGTTGCTTAAACCATATAACCCGTTAAAAACAATTGGGAACATAAAGCTAAAGTGATGAATTGTGTGACTGAACTGAAAAGTTTGAGCTGATATGATTGAAATTTGATGTTTGGTGTTTGACATAGCATAATACTGCTTTTAAATAGTTGTGTCGAAGCAATTCGGTTTATTATTTGATTTGATGTTTGATGTTTGACATAGCATAATACTGGTTTTAGGTGCTTGGTTTGGGCTATTTGGTTTATTATTTGATTTAACGTTTGATGTTTGACCGTGCAAAATACTGGTTAAACAATTAGACTGAAATAATTCGGTTTATCGTTGAGATATAGATATGCACCGACTTTGACTAATTAGGTGGGAATAATTTGATTTGGATAAATGGACTGGAGTACTTTGAATAACGGCAGAATATTGAAAACATTAAAACGAGAAATAGCTCCTCACAAACCCTGTTCCCCCTGAACAAGAAAAAGGTGGAGTTGCGAGGGGAGGGGCTGGAGACAGCGAAAGTGTGGCTTTTGGAGCCATGATAGACTGGGAGTTGGCTGGAAACACCACGGGGTGATTATTTGAGAGGTGCATGTGGGTTTCTGACGAGAGATGTTCTAAACTTGCTCACCCGAGTGTAGACGTGCGTCATTGGTGAGAGAGTAGAGAATATTTACATTTGCATTTTTGGTAATTTGGCAGACGCTCTTGTCCAGAGCGATTTATGGGAGCAATTTGGGTTGAGTGCCTTGCTCAAGGGCACATCGGCAGATTTTTCGCCTGGTCGGCTCGGGGATTGGAACCGGCGACCTCTTGGTTGTTGGAGCGGCGCTATTGGTCACTAAACTGCCTGGCGCCCCATATGGGTTTAAGATTGTGGCGTTGTTGGATCATGTGATGGTGGAATAAACTGACCATAAGTAATGTTGTTTTAGACGTAATGTATAATTTGGTACAAAGCAAATAGAGGGTTAAATTGAACTAATTATCATGGTAGAGCTAACGTAGTACAGTGAGGGAACTTCATTTTGTGTCAGAGGGTAAGATGAGAAATCATTAATGGTGCTATTGGTGGAAATCTATTTATCATTTCAAGGCATGGAGTAACAATCTGCATTTATGAGTGTAAATTCCATTGCTGATGTGTTGATTGAATGGGTACGATGGAGTATTTGGTTTGGTAATGTTGAATGGACTATTTGTAGCGTGTTTTGGGGTTAAATAGAAAGACTCACTTATTCAATAGGGAATGGGTGGAGAGAGAGAGAGTTTTTACGTGTATTAAAAGTTGCATAAGATAGCTTTAGTAGTATTCTAGATAGGACTATGAAAATATGTTACAAGTACGAATGACATTATTTCCTAAGAAGGAAGATTGTAGGGAAGTTTCCCGCGCCTCCCCCATAATGTAGGAAGGAGCAGGAGAGGGGGAGGAGGTGTAAGAGACAGTACATAGTTCAAATGATAGGAACATCATTAAATGTATGCTTATCAACGATAGCAAGTATTTGTTTTATTAATTAGGGCCTAATCAGAGAGAACGGTTAAAGAAATTGAATAGCGAACTGAAATGGGTTAGCGGGAAAATACAAAATTGTTGGTACATTCTAGAACGATAATTTATTTTGGTTACGGGGATGCAAGTATGCATTGGCTGTTGTGCTGGGGGAATAGCGCCAGCCTGTAGTGGATTCTGGATTGGTGAAACAGGGGGGACAGGAACAATAGAAGGGGAGACAGATTTTCCTAGGGGGTTGAACAAATAATTGATAATGGATCATTTGAGATGAGATCACATGTAGCAGAGTTAGGGTAGTCAATTAAATAATAATTGTATAATCGAGGAATTTTGAGTGGTTTAATGGATTAGTTATGAGGAATTAGATTGATACAAACAATTATTGATGGGTTAAGACTGGGGATATCTGTATCATGTTTTGTGTGTACTACCATCTTTAGATTATAACCAGGAGAAAGAGATTAGCTCATCTCAGTTAGGCAGTATTTCGGTCATAAAAGTGAGCTACCAAATTAAGTGAGGCCTGGCTATTTGTGGTTGTTGTTTTTCAAATTGGGTTAAAATGGGTTCACAGAGCCAGAGGCTGTACAGAGAAAGGTGGAGCCCCCATGTTGCCCTAGTGAAAGAACATTCAGAGGAATGGTTATCACTAGGTAAATGGATAAAACAGGGGAAAAACATTACTGACTGGCAGAATACACCAAATGGGGATCAGTATGGCCACTCCACTGGGAGATATAGAAGAAAGTTAAATTGGAGAGCAAAAACCCTG